AAAATGAAGTTAAAGAAATTTAAACAAGTTGTTCACTTCATGACCATTTAGCTTCCTCAATATATAAAAATTGCGGTTTTGCAAACTTTTGAAAAACTATGTACAAAAGGGTTCGTCCAGAAGATTTGTTAAAAATAAAATTATATAAATCATTTATAAGTTGTTATATAAATATCTGGTGAAATTTACACTTTCATTTGCCAATTGCTTCTTTTTTGTGATAGAATAATCATTTCAAAATATTAATATTAATATTAAATAAATTATGAAAAAAAATACAAAATGAAAGGCCTCGCCACGCCAGCCACTTTCCTCTCCCAGGCAGTGCCGAATAGAGTACTTTCAGCAAAGGGGGCACCTTTCTTTTAGTTGCAAATTAACACTCAGAAAAACAATATTTGCAATGTTAACAAAATAATTTTGTTGAACATTTTTTGTTCATCTGACTAAAATTTTATTGACCATTTTTAACTAAAATATGATTATTTTGACTCTAATATAAATGTATATTCATTACGAGTACCAAATTTTTTTGTAACACCTACTAAATATTTCATTTAAGCGAACTCAATAGTTCGACAAAAAAATTTAATTCACCAAACCAACAGGTTTCATTGCAAATATATGAAATAAAAGATAAACCAAACAGTTTTTTAAGTAAATAAATTTTTTTGTTATTTTCTTTAAATTTGTTAGTATTCTTTAATATAATATCTATAATAAAATCAAATTACACTTAATAACGAAGCTAAAAATAACACTTTTAAAATTTTATATGTTTTTCTCATGATTGGATTTTTCCCAAAGACAAGAAATAGCTTTTAAATTTAATTTAAAAAGTGTAATTTTTAACTTCCCAGGCGAGAACTGACGCTAGATTCAGGCTTTACGGAACCTTCGTTGAGGCTTGGTCAACATTGATCAAGCCTTGGTGGGACGGCGGAACGAAGGTTGCTTCTAGCTATAATGTAACACTTATTTAAGACTGACGCTCCAGTCTTTGTTGTAGATTGGCGTTCAATGTTCAATCAATGCTGCGGAACCCTATAATGCAGGACTGAAACAAGGCTGCTTCCACTGTTCCAAAATTTACGCCTCTCTCGCGCTCATTCATTATAATATGAATATATGAATTGTATATAATAATAATATTTTAATAATAATTATTATTATTATTATTATTATTATTATTATTATTATTATTATTATAGTAATGAATATTATTGATATTATTTTATTCATGTTATATGCGTCTGTTTGGAAATAAGTTACTATTATAATAATTATATTATTTTCATATAAATAATATATTACTAACAATAAATGTCATTTGAAATAGTAATATTAAAAAAATAATTTTAGTAAAAAAAGACAATTTTTCTGTTAATCGACACATTTTTTTCTCGATTTTTTAGCAGACTTTTTAACATTATTTACAAACATTTTCACAAGTTTTTATTCACAACACACAACACACAATTTTATTATTTTATATAACGCTTAAAACAAAGAATGAAAAATATTCGCTCGCATGTGGGATCGAACTCACGCACCCCGTCCCTAACGCATACCGGAAGTCCTAAACGCACGCATTTAAACCGCTCGGCCACAGAAGGCTGGAAGGCACCTCGCCTAATCTACTATTTCAATGCCAGCGCAGTATATTCTGTATATACGGCGCGTCACTCAATATTTGTTCAGCATGGGACACCAATGTTCGTCCCATGCTCGATTAAAGACTCGGTCAATCTTGATACAATATTCACTTTCTTTATTACCGTGTGCACTGAACAATATTAAATATAAATATTTATAAATTATTTATTATTAAAATATTTTTATGATAATTTTATAAGTTAAATTATATATATTATTTTTTTTTCTTGTACAGTGTCAAATTATTATTTTCAAAGTTTAAGAGTTTCGTTTATCTGAAAAATTATTAGTGAAAAAAATGTTCATTAGGTAATAATAAATATTTATGCTTAGTAGTTTTACACTAGGATTAACTGTTTAGTAAATATTATCAAAAAAACTATTTTTTGTGAAACGCGCGCGACTAAACACAAATAACCTTGAAACTCCAGCATTACCAACTCAACACATACGTTAAACTCTTGAGTTGGCAATGTTAAAGTCTCAAGGTTATTTGTGTTTAATCGCACGCGTTTGACAAAAAATAGTTTTTTGATAATACATATTTACTAAACAGTTATTCCTAGTGTAAAACTACTAGGCATAAATATTTATTACACCCTAATGAACATATTTTTTCACTAAAAATTTTTCAGACAAACGAAACTCTTGAACTTTGAAAACAATTATTTGACACTGTGCAAGAAAAAAATAATAATGTATAATTTAACTTTATTTATATAAATCTTATATAATTAATAATAATAATTATTATTATTATTATTATTATAAAAAAAATAATATTTAATATTTATTTTTAATTTAATATTTTTTTATACCTAATAATAATTATTATTATTATTATTATTAATAAATTAATAATTAAAAAAGAATAATATACACTAAATAAATATTAATATTTATTTACCAATTGATATCTTAATAATAATAATTAATAATAATTTTTAAATAGTATACAAAATTATCATAAAAAATATTTTAATATTAATTAATTTATAAATATTTATATTTAATATTTTTAAGTGCACACTGTCAAGATTGATTCAGGCTTGAATAAAGATCAGATGTTTGAGCTTCACTCACGAAGATTGACCGAGTCTTGAATCGAGCATGGAACGAACATTGGTGTCCAATGCTGAATCAACATTGAGTGACAGTGGTATAAAGACTGCTTCAACACTGGGTTACCCAGGCTGGGCGTTCAAGGCTCAATAAATCTTCAATCCATCGTCAGCATTGGTCTTTCGCGCCTGGGTTGTTATTAAAAAACTTGTTATTAAAAGAAATTTGATTTTATTAATAATAAACTTAGTTCATAATTAAAAATTTGGAAAAATGCTAACTAATTTTTTGAATATAACAAGAAAATTATATTAATTTAATTTTGTTATTAATTAATTTATTATATTATATCGACGGTTTAGAGTGCAAACCTGCTAACTCACATTTATGAAATTTTTCAGGAGAGTCAAAAAACTATTCAAAAGAATTTTTAGGTTATATTCTTATAGAACAAAACTTTCAGTATATTTGTTTTATTAACAGAACAACACAATGCTACTTAATAATAAAAAGTACTTCCTTTTGAAATATATTTTAATTGATATCTCTTACACTCAAAGTATAGACACATTTCAATACAATACAATATATTATGTGGAGTTATAGCAGTGCAATTTGACAGGTATGGAGTTAGCTGTTTTACTCACAACACTTTTTTTTAGCAATTTAGAGACATAATTTCGTCAAACTGTTTTACTTGGCTGATGTATCACCTCTTTATCTATCAAATACAAAAAGAATCTCAAATTTGATAAAAAGTGGAGTTAGCAGGTTTGCACTCTAAACCGTCGATATATATATATATATATATATATATATATATATATATAGGTATATTTTTTCTTTTGTTATATTTATTTATTTATTTAATTTTGTATGTGAGTTTTGGTGATATCTTATATAGATGTCACTTAAATATTTATTAACTTGTAACAAAAAAGAAAGGTGCCCCTTAGCCCTCTTTGCTGAAAGCGAACGATGCTTCCTTGTCGCAATCGAACTGATTTGCTGGCAACATAAACAATGTCTGATTTTGGCCCCTTGTTGCTTAATATACACGGAAAGAAAGTTATTATCAAATTTTATAAAAGTATTTTACAAGTGTTGGACGAAATGCGGCAGAGGTAAATTTTTATATCAGAAGTACAAAGCGTTAAAAAAATTATATGATATTTAGTAAATCAAAAACTTTCAACAACTTTTAATGTAACTTTACTACATTTTAAATAAGATTTTTTAAAGTTTAGTATTTCTGATATCAAAATTTACCTTTGTCGCATTTTGTCCTATACACTTGTAAAATACTTTCATAAAATTTGATAATAACTTTCTTTCCGTGTACTATAACTCCTTGCTATCTGAAATTGACACTTTTGTGTCTTTGGAATAAGAAAAATCGTAAGTAAGACAGGGCGAATACGGTCAAATTGGTTACCGTCTCAAAAAAAATTTAGCCAATATTTTCAATTTTCGCACTCTCATCTATACGAACTGGATGAAAATTTGCCTGTTTAATGTTTATGACAGCATTTTTTTGAAAAAAATTATAGTCAGACCTTGGCCTGTAACTTTCATTTTCTTTATGAGCAGGGGGTCGACAAGACGACATTAAATATTAATTAGGATAAGTGAAAATTTCGACAAATTATTTTTCAGGTAAAATAAAAAACATGATAAAAAATCTATTGATTTTGTTATCATGTTTTTTATTTCGAAATTTTGCTTTAAAAGTTAAATTTGAAATAATTAATACAATTTTTGTTCTTTTATATATATATATAAAAGAACAAAAATTTATATTTTCGAAATATAGGTATGGATAAAATGTGAAAAATTTTTGTTTGATGGTTTATGTTGTGCCCAGGTGTAAAGTTGATTGTTGAAAATTTACACGCCCAAGACCAGGGGAGACTTCCTTCAATGTTTAAAAAGCAGCTGTTCTGGAAAATATTGCTGGCAATATCAATTTAAGAAAGTCAATTTTTAGTCATATTTCATTTTTCAATCTTTAAAATTTTCTCCCCTAAAACTTGTCTGAAAAATTTTTTAAAACCTATATAAAAACTTGAAAATATCGAGTTTTTCTATATTTCTGTTTTAGTAGAATATTAAGATATGTGTATAAATAACTTGCATTGAAAAATAAAATATTAAAATATTAAGGGTGTAATTAAAGAAATGAAATGAATTATATTATATTGTTAATTAATGAAATGTTGAGACTTGGAGAACTTAAATAAAATGTATAGTATATTAAAATGAAAATTTTTTTTGACATACAGGTAGCGTGAAAAGCCTGACTCGCGACAGTAGTGTGTCAGCACAAGGAGGAGTTGGCGCCGGTGGAGGTGCCGCCATTGGGTACAAACCAGTTGTCCCTCGGGAACTGGCCCAAGACTTATCTAGACCTGCTCGTCTTGATGTTCTTCTGGATATGCCGCCAGCTTCACGTGAAACTCAAATACACCACAGTTGGAATGCCGATGACCGTAGTTTGAATATTTTTGTTAAAGTGAGTTTATCTCGAAACCAATATTTGCAGTTTAACATATTTCAAGTAATAATCAGTTGAGCTGAGAGGAAAATAGATGAAAGGCAGAAATAAGAAATATATTTATTTTGCAGGATGATGACAAGTTAACCTTCCATAGACACCCAGTGGCACAAAGTACAGACTGCATTCGGGGGAAAGTCGGTTACACGAAGGGAATGCATGTGTGGGAGCTACACTGGAGTACAAGGCAACGTGGAACTCATGCAGTTGTCGGCGTCGCCACGGCAGACGCACCTCTTCATAGCGTCGGTTATCAAAGTCTCGTTGGAAACAATGAACTGAGTTGGGGATGGGATCTTGGTAGAAATAAACTCTATCATGATTCCAAAAATAATAATGGGATCACATATCCCGCTCTTCTCAAACCTGACGAATCTTTCATTGTTCCAGATAAATTTTTAGGTAAACACCTAAAAACTTTTTAAACACCTTTAAAAGTTCAAAAATGGCGCTTTTGGATAGCAGACTATCGGGAATAAGTCAAATGACTTATTCTCTTGTTCGACATGTATATAAAAATGTCAAAAAACTTGGAAAATAACGCATGGGACTATGCATCGTTTTCATACGGTCTAACAAAATTAATGGCTTTATATATACACAGGAAAAAGTAAATCTCAATTTAAGATCAGTCTTAAATTCAGCACTGTCAACTACAATGTTAAATCATTTAAAATTCATTGCGTAAATTCAGTATTGCCTGCCTTAAAAATGTTGCATCTTAATTTTAGACTGCCTTGCTGCCTTAAAAAAAGACTTCCTTTTCACTGTGTCCTGCCGTGTACCTATTATTATTATTATTATTTGATTAACTTAGTTTCGGGTCCACACGAAACTAAATTAAACGTAAATTTTTAATTTAGTTTCGTTTCAAAATCGGTCTCTGATTATTACAGATTATTAATAAATAAATCACTGTACATCATACGCTTTAAAATCTATTTATTAGTTATTTTTGTGCTTATAAAGCAGAAATGAAGTCAGCAAAAAGTCAGGAAATTTTATTCCCAATCCTTGCTGGACACTCTGAATATATTAATAATCGTTGTATTCCGGTAACCTGTTTGCAGTTTCAAGTTAGTTGTTGTTTACTTTTTTGTTTCTTAACTTTTTTAATAATTTTTCTTTTTAAATATTTTTAATTTTAAAATTAATGTACTGAAAATCATTGAATTCTTGTAAAGTATTTATAAAAAAATTTGAAAATAATTGAATTCTTCATAAAATTTAATTACTTTTAATCATTGTAATAAAATTCTTTAGTCAATTTATAAATTATAAAAATCTTCGTAAAAAATTCAATTATTTTTATATATAAATAATAAAATTCTTATCAGGATTTTACTTATTTTCAATACAATTTTAATTAATTTCTTCGAAAATTTCAATTATATTTAAAAATGTTGTAAAAATTCACCGAAAAAATGCAATTATTTAAAAAATAATTAAATTTTTCACATGCGTTCAATTATTTAAAAATAATTAAATTTGCGCTGGAATTAAATTCTTTCAAATACAATTTTAATTGAATTTCAGGGAAAATTAAATTACTTTAAACATTTTTTTTTAAATTCATCGAAAGAATTTAATAATATCAATAAATAGTAAATTTTTCATTGCCTTGAAAGAAATTTATACAACAATAGTACAATTATTACAGGCGATTGCAATAATTTGTAAAACGAATTTTCAGTGGTTCTCGATATGGACGAGGGAACTCTAGCATTCGTAGTTGATGGTCAGTACCTTGGAGTAGCATTTAGAGGACTGAAGGGCAGAAAATTGCACCCTATTGTTTCCGCAGTATGGGGACACTGTGAAATTACTATGAAGTATATTGGAGGCCTTGATCGTTAGTATTCTTAAACTGTTTTATTATATCTTCTTTTCAATTACATTGAAGTAAAAATTTTAATATTTTAATAAAAGAAAAATTGATTCTTTGACAGAAATGTGGATTTCACTTTATTATTAAATTTCACTTTTAGAATTTAAATTTATTATATTTTTGATAATAATATTTAAGAAAATAAAATTAATCAAGCTTAAAAAATTAAAAAATTCATTAACAATTTAGAAAAATTTGTAATTAATAATATTTTAAAATTTGTTCACAGCTGAGCCATTGCCATTGATGGATCTTTGCCGTCGTGTGATCCGACAACGAATCGGCAAACATCTAATAGAAGAGAAAGTGGACGAATTGAGCCTGCCACTCTCTATGAAGACTTATCTTTTGTATCGAGACAGGAGGTAACCACCGAGTGGCAAAATTTGAGATACCAGAAAATCGGCGATCTCAAAACTAACAACTCTTAAGACACGATATCGTTATCACTACAACGCACAGAGATCCCGCCGAACCCCTCGCTTGCCACCGAGAAAAGTCCACCGATAGCCGCGTGTCAATCTTCGTCATCTCAATGATTTTCGTAGCAGAGTAATATCATTATTACGCCCCATAAAAACGATGCTTCTACGGAATCCTAATCTAGGAATAATTATTAGCTAATATTTGTTGTTTTATGTTGTCGACGCGATCAAAATCGCAGAGTTTTTATTCCTTGTTATGATTTAGCCGAGAATTGCGATTTGGATATCTCTAGCATCGGCAAGCATACCTTTGTTTCTTTCCCACTTTGTTTGAGCTTTGTGTATAATCGAGAGAAGAGCGCAAAAATATATGAGAGGACGATTTAAAAAGACAGAAAAGAAACTTTAGTTTCAAGAAACTAAAGAAAAGAATAAGTTTGAAGAAAAGAGAAAGAAGAATTTTAAATAGGATTTAGAGAAAGGGAAATTTTTTGAACAAAAAAGAATTATAAAAAGGAGAAGAGACTTGAAAAAGAGGAGACTGGACGATTTCGTTATAGAAAATAACTTTTTTCTGAGAAATTTTCTTGACGAAGACACGCGGCATTCCCTTGTAGAACTTCAAGGTTGGCCAGTAAACAATTTAGACGTAGTCGAGCCTGAAGACTGCATTTTTCTTTGGAGTTTTTTTTCAATTGAATTGTCGAAAGTCGATATCGGGCTCGCTGTATTCCGGCATTGCGAGGAGGAATTCACCAAACAATAAGAAGACAAGAGACATTGAAAATTTAGCCAAAGATGGTGAACACAAACTTCATCATCATTATTATCATTTTCATCATTGAGGGAAGAGGATTTCATTATTACCAATTATTAAGCAGAAGAAGACGAAAAAATGAAAAAATAAGAAAAAGTGTGTACAGTGAAGATAAAATGCCAGCTGAATAGCCACCTTCCAATAGACTCGTTTTTCAAGTATTTTCTAAGCATGCTAGGTCTTACAAAGTATAGTGGTTTAATCAAGAAAACGTAAGTTTGTATGTGTGTGTATGTGTAAGAAAGATATATATATATATAGCAATGTTATATTGCTGTATATATAGCAAGAGTTATGCGCATGCGAGAGAAGAGAATCGTACGGCGTTTTTTGAATCGTACGGCGATTCAAAAAAGGGAGAAATAAGAGAAACGCGACTAGATTCAATTTTTGGTAAAGCGAAAAATGTGAATGAAAAAAGGCATTGTTTTGTCGCGTCTTCCAAAATTACACCAGCTGCCAGTGTTTAATTCACGCTTCCCTTTATTTTGCTTTTTTTTACAAAAAACACTATTCCTCCAAGTCGCTAGTCTTTTAACGCACCATCTCTTTACGCAAAAACGCGCATTTTTCATTGGCATTTTTCTATGGATGTGTGAATATTCCCCAAATTTTTTGCAGATAATGAAATTGAAAAATTTGGTACCCGTTATTTTATGCTCAAAAATATAGTTGTTTCACCAATTTTAAGAAATTTCAGAAAAATTACCTCGTTTCTTGTTAGTAGTAAATTTACAAAAATATTCTTAATTTATGTTATCATGAATGATATAACATTTGGAGGTTATTCCACTATGAATATGAATATTTTTGAGAAAGAATGCAGAAATATTAAATAAAATAACCCTACTTTTAGGCAAAGTGGAATTTATGGAGAATGTCCACAAATCTCTTTTTCTAAAGGAATTCTTAGAACTAGATTGTGAGAAATTTACTTAGACGAGCCTAAAGACAAAAAGAAGCAAAAAAACGTTCTATAGCACTCGTAGATATTTGCGCATCTTTAATAAAAGCATAAACCCTAATTTTTTACAATATCCGGACACGAGTCATGTTCCGATTTATTGAAGACAGGACAAATAGATTTAGAACGTTGTACATATTATTATTGATAAATATTAATAATAATAATAACAATAATAATAAAAATAATAATTATAATAATAATAATAATGATAACGATAATGATAATAATATTATTATTATATTAATTAATAGTTTAATCGATTAAGCAATTATCGTGTTAGTCTGCATAATGTGGATCCGTTTTAAACGGTTCGATCGACTTTTTTTGCAGTTTAAAAAGACGAGTCTTCATTTTCTTGTGACATTGAATGTCTCTCGAAGATTTCAATCTCTCGCATAATTTTTTATTTTAATAAGGACAAGAGAAAGTAAGATTCAAGTACATAAAATAAAAAGAAATTGAGACTTTTTAATTCGTGCCTCTCAGTCTCTCTCTTGTCTCGCGCAATCCTTTTCCCTTCAAGTCATTAGATAGCTCTATTTGCGACGACTGAACTCTTCTACATCTACCAATTGTTCGATTATGAAGCTTCCCAGTGCTTCGACCGCGATTTTTGTTTTCGAAACTAAATGATTTTTGTCAAAATGACAAAATGTGCAATCGAAATTATCGTTCTGTTACGCTCGTTTTTTATTCTAGTTTTTAAAAATTTCTCCAGAATTTGAATCTATCGATTGGAATAATCACGATTGTCGAATCATCAATTTTCTGATGAATCATAAATTTTCATCACTGAATGAAAATTTTGTATTTTCTGATGTATAATCTGAAATAATTTCTCTATCGATTAATTCGTGCTGGAAGTTTTATTAGAAATAAAAACATCATGTTTGATAAAAATATCAATTGATTATCTGTTCCAAGTTAAACTGATCATATGGTTTCTCAACTTCACAAATGTTTTTTGTTTGCGAGAACAGTGCCATTATCGGTCGAACCGAGGATGCGTGGAATCTCAAAACTTACGCAATGGAGTGCGATAAAGTAATTTCGACTCAAAAGCGGATAAGGCCAGTGTTTCTGGGACGTGTAAATAGTAATACTTTTTGTAATAATACATAATCGCATACTATTGAGACTCAAAATTATAAGAAAAAGAATTTATTCAGATAATCCTACAAATTTTAAATTTATTCATTATCGACAAGTTTTCCTTGAAAGTTTACTGGAAAATTTAAGAAATACCTATCAATTTAATTTTTAAGACTTGCTTTTGGTTAAAAAAATAAAATTCAACGAAGATTTGCGAAATTGTTGATAATTTCTTTAGTTATAGATTTGCATCTCGAGTTCCTTAAATTTTCTTATTTAATTCTTTGAATCGAGTTTATTTAAACCGATTTCTTGAAATGAAGTATTCTTTAAACTGAATTTCTTGTGTTTCTTTAATGAAAGGAATGTATATTATTTTTAAAAATAAAACAATAAAATTTCGTTATAGTTTTTATCAGTTTGCTTTTTAGATTTGAAGAACATTTTTTAATCGCTGTTATGCTTTTGATGGAACTGATTTACGAAAATCAGTTGCGATGATTCCACAGAGGTGAAATTTGTTCAAGTCGATACGTTTTAAGTATCTTTAAACTTTCTTGTGATGTATGTGATTGTATAAGTTTTTGTTCAGATTTTAATTTTCAGTATTGTCGCGTCTATGCAGAAGAGGGTGATCTAAAAGATCGTTTTTTCATTCTAAGCTTTATGTTTTTTTCCTTTTAAGTTTTTTTTTCTTTTTGTTTTTAATACCGTAAAATAAATGTTAACATCCGGCAAATATGTAGGACGAATATCTGGAATGCTTTGTCAGGAATTTCGGCAAATGCGTCTTTTCTCCTATGTAGCTGTGATGCCTTGAGAAATGAGTCTAATTTTTATTTATATTGCGATTATCATAGGTGATTAACTGTGTGAATGGGAGAGATTTGAAATTGTGCGAGCTTTGGCTTTTAGCGACTCGAAAAGTCTTTTCCCCATTTTTACTCATTAGTTTTAGTTAAGTGCATCTCTTTTAACGAAATTTACGTCTTACATCTTTTATATTTATCTTATTAAGAGAACATTATTCATTTGAACACACATCAAGATTTGGTGGAAAAATTTTTAAGAAAAGTGTTTTTTAAAGTCTTGAACTAAAAAATTTGAATTTTTAAACAAATTGTTTAGAGAAGAGTAAAGGAATAATTTTATAAAATCCTGAGGGGAAATAATTGTTCGACTCGTTAATTGCAGTTTTTAGTCTGCCGTGTATGTATTTTTTGTCACTTTTGTGTTAAGCCTGGACTATTGCAACGAGCGATCTCACGTCTATTATTTAAGTTTACAAGTTAGCTTGGTATTGCTGTATAGCGACAGGTAATGTGGAGTTTATAAATATATAATGCCTTAATGTTAACGATAATAATGATAGTGTTCTATTAGTTTACATTCTTAAAGAAAAGATGAGGGACTAAGGACAAGATTTACACTACTTGATTGAGTTATTCTTAATATGTCTCCGTTCTGTTCGTCATTTGGTATTTTTGTATATACACAATGAAAAAGCAAAATGTATAATTACAAGTATCTTGAAACTTTGTGAAACGAGCCGAGCGTAGGACCGACTGCTGTCTGAAATAGTTCAGGCTGGATGGATGTCAATGTTTGTAGCGGGTAAACAAAAGGCAACACGCAGCGTATTGTAATTAAAATTGAAAACCATTAACAACTTTGACTTTCATTCACAAAACATCCTGTTTCTTCTTTTACTTCATAATTTCAAAGATTTTTTATTTTTCACAAAATGGGGACTGATTCGATAAAAATAATACTTGAAATGGATATCGTTTACGTTACAATTTTAGATTGTTGTGGTTTCGATTTTTGTGACTAGTGATTACGAGATTTGTGGAAGATGTTTGCTTTTAATTTCAAGTTAACATTTCTTATTCATGAACCCGATTTAAAAATTTCAATTTCTTACCAAATTAAGATGAATTAATTGACCTATGCAAATCTTAAGGGGGGTGGGGTAAGGTTAATTCGGTGATAAAATTCATATTTTTAAGAATTTTTTTGTGATGTAGAGAGAGTTAATTTATTTTATCAATTTTCATATTATACTACAACATTTGAACAACAATTTTCCAAAATTTGTATGTCAAAATACAGTCAGGTCCCCATACTGTTAGATTCCAAACTGTTATGTCCTCAGTAGTGTTATGTTTTTGCATAACCTCCAAATTTAGAAGTGTTAGGTGACGCGTGTGTTAGTGACGTCACGTTACGTCACCAATTTTCAGGGCCGTATTCTTAAGCCCAAAGAAAAGGGGACATATACTTCTAGGCCAAACTTGAGGTGTATATATTTACGTTCCTGAAAGGTGCGCAGTAGACATACTTTGAGCACATAACAGAGCTGAGTCAGGAGGAGTGGGAAATTTCTGGAAATGTAACAGTATGGGGACCCGACTGTACACTGAAACCCCACTTATTTGAACATGGTCCACGCAATTCGACACGAAGTGTCGCGTTTATTTGTATTTTGATCGACATAACCTATTTTGATGACGTAATTCGATAAATTGACGTGATTGGTTGGTTTTGTTTGAACTCAACCAATGGGAATGTAAGTATCTTTCCATTGGTCGCGTACTGCGCATGAGCTAAAATAAGTGAGGTTAGGGCTGATTCAAACTACAAATAACTGAAGCAAAAACGGGTTCAAATAAATGCGACTTTAAGTAAATGAGACTTTAAATAAGTGGGGTTTCAGTGTATTGAAAATTGAGCGAATGAATATGAATCTCCTAAAGCGCCACAAAAAAAAGTTGTTTTGCGGTGTACACTGTAACTCGTAACAGAATCGTTTAGAACAAAACATCAAAATGCATTTGTTAAAGAAGCGATGTTTATTTAGGTAATGGGAGGATTTTTATTTCATTTTTCAAATTTTCATAGCACTTGGAAGCTAAAAAGCCGATTTTCTCTATAAGGGTGATTCTACAAAAGAGGGAATTTTGATGTCTGAAGCATGTTTTGTATATTAATTTTGGAAAGAATAATTTTACTTTTAATGGAAATTGTAAATCTTAATGGTTTCTTTTATGGCACAGAAAAAAAACCGATGAAAAAAAATATTTTTTTGCAAAAAATACACATTATAGTGCTAAATTCTCATTCGTCTAGCATGTCCCTTTGGGAGAATGACAGTTCATATTGAAAATAAATATCACTTTTCAAATGTTTTGCGGAAATTTCATACTGAATTAGTAATTTTGAATAGTTGTAGATTACTAATATGAAAATAATTATGACGTTTCTCTATATCTTATTTATAAAATATCTTCGGGAAGTTTGTCCCCTGAATTTTTTATCATTCGTCTGGCAGTGCAAAAAATGTAAAAATTATTAAAAATCAACATTCTGATGAAGTGACTGTTCGTTGTAGTTGTTAATCAAACTAAACTAAATGTGATACACGGAAAAGTTTTGGGGCGAGCAACTCTATTTGCTTTAGTACACGGAAAAGTTTTCGGGCGAGCTGCGTTCTCCGCGCGTAGAGAAGGTTTCCTAAAAGAGAGAAGGCATATCGCCTTGTAAATGGGTGAGCTTCTCTCTCTACTGGGAACGCTGCTCACCCAGTGTTGGACGAGCTGCGCTGAAAGTCAGTGGTAGATACACGACTGGTAGAGCAGCTCGTCCAATGCTGGCCTGCTGCGCTATCTTTTTGCGACTATTGCTGCACCAAAGTGAAGTTGCGCAGCGTTACTAGAGCAAATAGAGTTGCTAGCCCCAAAACTTTTCCGTGTAACGCTGCGCAACTTCACTTTGGTGCAGCAATAGTCGCAAAAAGATAGCGCAGCAGGCCAGCATTGGAGGAGCTGCTCTACCAGTCGTGTATCTACCACTGATTTTCAGCGCAGCTCGTCCAACACTGGGTGAGCAGCGTTCCCAGTAGAGAGAGAAGCTCACCCATTTATAAGGCGATATGCCTTCTCTCTTTTAGGAAACCTTCTCTACGCGCGGAGAACGCAGCTCGCCCGAAAACTTTTCCGTGTACCAATCGGGTTTTATTGAATCTTCTAATCTATTAACCAAGATTTCTCAATTTGTGACGGAGATTGTGTTGTGACCAGACAAATTCTCATTCGTCTGGCATACATTTTTTAAAAAAATATTTTATTTTTTGGTTATTCTATAGACTTATGTTTTGTAGATTATTATTCTCTATAAGATAGTACTGAAGGATTTTTTCATTTAATGTTATTTTTTTATTTTTTTAAACAAAAAATGCCAAATTCTCATTCGTCTGGTTCTCATTCGTCTGGCACTTTTGAGATAGGATGTATACTATATCACTAAAAATAGCGTAAAACTAACAATTTTCAACTATTGTTCGATTTTCTGGTCTTAAGGACGCTGCACGGTGGGAAATATTTAAAAGTACGCATAGGCGTAGCGAGCGATTTCTCCTCAACTTCCACTCTTTTCCCCTCTTTTCGTCCCTCTTGGTGAAATTTTTTGACTTTGATAATTAATTTAAAAAAATCCAGATTGAAAATGAAAAAAGGGCGATTTAGGGAAAAATAATATTTAATAGAGAATATTCAACAAGTTTTCTTATGACGATTAGATGTTTCTATGGGCGTGAATATCAATCCGCGTTTTCCAAAACATAGCAAACTGACAGCTCAATATGGGAGGTTAGCCATGGCCGACTATATCAGGTTGCACCGTTTGCGTAGTACAGTAGAAATGAACGTGAGGAACAAAAATATTAAATGTCAATTATACTCTCATTGTTTACTATTACATTTATTATTTGTTTATTTATTTATTATTGTTATTATATCTATTATTATTTATTATTTTACTTACTTTTTTAAAATATTATTATGGAAAAGTATTAAAACAATAAAGGAAAATTTTTTATGAAAAAATTATTAAACAAATAAAATTTCTAAACAAAAAAAAAGTAAATAATAAAAAATTATGAAATGTATAATTTTAAAAATTTTTTATTGTTATTTTTATTATTGATATTTTTAAGTATATGAAAAATCTAATTTAAATATTCCACAAAATTAGTTTTAAAGTAATTTTTTATAAGGAATTCAACGGTCATAAAATAAAAGCGGACAGAAAATATTTTGACCCTTTTTCAATTTTCATTTTTCTTAAAAATTGGTGGATTTCGAAACACACGCGTAATTTGGTAGAAAATATGTTTTTAAATCCATGAAAAGAATTCCAAATGAAATCGATGATTTTCATAATTACCTATAGAAGTATTGTTTTGAAAAAATCTTTGTTTTTAAACTGAAAATTCTAAAAATAACATTGTTATTCAATTTTTCTATATGGAAAATTATTTGTTTACTTATTTAATTTCTGATCAAAACTTAATCTTAATTTTTCTGTATTTCTATTTTTCATCAATAAAAATTATGATATGAAATTATTTAGAAAAATAAATGTCAAAAAATGCCCTTTTTTAATAAAAAAAAAAGCTGCAATGTATTGAAAAAAGACGAAAATTTAATAATCTACTTCAAAAATTGTTAGAAAAAAATTGCAAACATCAACGTCGTTTTCTCAAGACAAAAATGGTTTTCATAATTGGAAATAAATTCTGAGTACCTCCGTGTTTCAGAAAAAGGACTTTTTTCATAAAAAAGATCCAATTTTATGACAAAAATTAGGTTTAATAATATTTTCATAAAAAATTTACATTACTTTGTTTTATACTTTTCCATTATAATATTTCTAAAAAGTAAGAATAATAATAAATAATAATAGATAAATAAACAAATAAATATAATTATTTATATAATATTAAATAATAAAAGTAATGACTTATTATTTTTGTTGATCATCTACGTCCCTACATTACCATAGCGTAAATACTTTCAACACGAAAATGGTGCAACCTGTTATGGTCGGCAAAGGCCTACATCGAGCTGTTCCCTACTAAAAATAAAATCAGGAATCGTCATGAATGGTCAGAATTTCTGAACATTCCTGAACAGTCTCACCACTTCTGACATTTTCGAACGTTTCTCACCATTCCTAACCAAATACTTTCCAAGCTCCTCCCACTTTACTCCCACCATTTTCGAAGCTGTGACCATTTCTGAAATTCCTGACCATTTCTGAAATTCTTGACTATTTCTGAAATGTGTGAACACATAACCTATAAAAATTTTGGTACATCTTTCTAATTTTGGTAAAGTCTCATGAAAATTTATATATACATATAAAATCTTTCAAATTTATTTTTTACATTTCAGAATACATTATTCTATTATAAAAATTGTTCTTTTAACTTAACAAAAGTTCTCATTTTTCAAATTGGTATAATTATTGAATTAATTATACAGCAAAAGTAGGTAAATAAATCAAAACATTCGGACCATTCTTTTAAAATTATTTAATATATTTATGTAATGTATATTTATAATATATTAATTTAATATATGTATATTTACTTGTAATTATTTAATATAGTTAATTAATAATAAATTTTGTTTCATAATATTAGTAATTTACTATACCAGTCAGTACTTATTATGAGAAGTATTTGCATTATAATTGAAATACAGTTATATTTAAATTATTATTAATCATTAATAGAATAATTTCTTACTATAATGATTATTAATAATTTAAATTTTAAATTTATAAAAATTTCAATATTGCATTAATAATTCATTATTATTATAAATT